GCCGGTCTGCAGGAGGATGAACGGGATATTCCAGTATAGGGGGCGAGTAACACAATATATAAATCATCAATATGTAAGCCACCAATATGTAAATCATAAGCGCGTTTACTATATCGAGACAAAAGAAAACACACAAAAAACAATGAAATAAGGAAGGAAAGGCTGTCGATAGACAGAGAAAAATATTAATAAAGAAGAGTAATGATAGCTGCGCTGTAGAATCGATTAAGACATGAAATCGGAGAGTCACGATAGTTACAGACAGAACGATAGTTTAGTGAACAAATTAAACAAGCAAATTCGATGTCATGATCTGCATGCACACTCATTCACGCCGCCGAATCGAACATTCCATTGCGAGACTCGACAGAAAATTTCTAAGCGTAAGGCTTTTTCTCGGACGGCGCATACACACGCCGGTAAATACGCATGGTATCGCAATCGGTGAATCTCATGCAAGTGCGAAGACACTACTATCCATTCAAAGATTCCCATACGCAAACGCGATACGCTAGTTTAATACGCCGAGGACAAACATACAACTACGATATTATGTACCAACAACAAACGTAACATACGTTTCGCGCATCAAAGCACACATAAACCAATAGCACGCACGCGGAAAGTACTCGCGACACGTCGAGCTCACGCTCGAAATATCCAACGCGATAGCTCTTTCGATTCGTCAAGGCCGCGATCTCCAGGAGGCTCGTTTCCGTGACTCAACTCTGTCCCCGATAGTCCCGTGCACGCGTGCTTGGGAATCTCTCACGGTTGGCGCCGGCCACGCTGTATCTTTTACACCAAAAATGCGCCTTATGGCGGACGCCGCATCAACACTAAATTCGCGTGCCGACGACAGAACGCGAGAGTGACTCTCTGCCACGTTGCATGCGACTTTACACTATTATACGATCGGAAAGGGCAATCTCACCGATATCCTTGTACTCCAATTGTTCTCGATGTTGGGATTTTTCGCTTGCTGAAATTTTTGCTGCGCCGGGACGTCTACTTGGTTAGGCGGCTCGAAACGGAAGAGGACGAGTAGAATCGTGATCGATGTGCGATCAATTCGCGAGCTCCTCCCCCTCCTCTCCCCCCAGGGGTGCGCAGTCGCGACCAATAGCGGGCTAGCGGCCCTTGCGGCGAAATGCTACGGGGCGCCTTACGGCCCCGAGGATTTTCTGGGCGGACCTTTCCTGCTGGCCGCCTCCGGTCGCCCGCGCCGATGTTGTGGCCGGGCCTACCGACCCTCGCGTCGACTCCTGTGGCTCGCCGGTCGTTAGGTGACTTGCTGTGGTGTTAGAGATCCTCTCTTGCTCGTCATGCGTCCCTTGCGCTATCCTAGGGCTCGGGCGCCGTTAAATTCTTGAACAGCAGTGGTCGTCGCTTCCTTCCGCTGGCCGGAAGCGCTCGCCGGCTTCGCTCCATTCGTCTCCGGCCCGCGGTAGCTCCTGGGATCTCCCGTGATTATCTTCTCCCCCGCTGCTTTCGTTCGGCGAGGCTCCCGTAATTTTTACATAAAAGAAAATCGCTGGGGATTAGAAAAATAATCTAACGCTAATACACGGCCCCCTGGAGATTTCACTCGCTCACTAGTCCCGGCTCAGGTTAGGCGCGAATCCGCGCTTTGTGACGGCGAAGGGTCGCTGCGAAGCTGCAGCGAAATTGCAACGTCACAAGGCATACATCAATATTGGTGTTTTGATACCTCCAAGAGAGAGATGCTGTGCTTGCCATTTAGATGATGATAGTTCTTTCAAGAAAGAAGCTTTGGAATCTATAATAAAAGCTACTTCTGATTTCAGTTACATGATAGAAGAATCGATTTCTCAGCTTTTGAATGGTCTACGTAAGGAAACAGGAAAAAAGGATTAGATTTTGATGATCCCTCCGAGCTTGATGATAAAGATTATCATAGACTCATTGGATTGATGAAAGAGCAATTTATTGTTGTTGCGCAGTGCTTGTCAGATGAAGTATAGTCCACAAAAGGTCGTTCTGCGCGTGTTTGCTTAGCATTATTGCTAACCAAACTACATACAGGTCTTTCCAATGCTAACCAAGGGTTCTATCAGCTCTTTTTGGGTTGTAAAAACGAAGGGTCATCCGAGGAATTATAACTGCAAGAACAGTTTTTATGTCTTCCTTTGTTCAACGTTATCTTGGTAATGACCATGTAACTCCCACGTCAATCATTAACGACCATACCACATCAATAGCAAAAACACTGTTTACAAATGGAGAAGATGCATGTACGAGGGTCGTCTGAAAAGTTTTGAGCCTCATCATGAAGATAGCGTTACTCGTCAAAGCCATTCTGATATTATAATCGTGATACTTACGAAAGATATCTGTGACAATTGTGGCCACTTTGGACGTTCAGTTCTTGTGACAATCATTTGTGTCATTTTGCAAAAATGGAAAAAATTGAATATCGTGCTATAATTAAATTCTTGCATTTGAAAGGCAATACGTTTACGCAAATTAAAGCCGAGTTGGACGCTGTTTACGGGGACTCTGCCCCATCATTTGCCACCGTGAAAAGATGGGTAGTTGAATTTAAACGTGGTCGTACCAGCTTAGCTGATGATGAACGTTCGGGACGGCCAACAACTGCGACCACCACCGATAACATCGAAGAAATTCATCAAATGATAATGGACAACCGTCGAATTAAGGTTAGGGAGATAGCAGAGGCTGTTGGCATATCAAAAGAACGTGTTTGTCATATATTGACTGAAGAATTAGGCATGCGTAAGTTAACCGCGCGTTGGGTGCCGCGCTTGCTCACTCTGGATCAAAACGCATTCGAATGAACATTTCTAAGGCTCTGTTGGAGCGGTTTAAGCGAAACGAGTCGGATTTTTTGCGTCGATTAATAACGGTTGATGAAACTTGGGTCCACCACTTCACTCCTGAAACGAAAGAACAATCAAAACAATGGACTGCGAAGGGTGAACCTGTTCCGAAGAAAGCGAAGACGGTTTTATCGGCGGGAAAGGTGATGACGACTGTTTTTTGGGACAGTCATGGAATTGTGTTGATCGACTATCTTGAAAAAGGTAAAACAATAACAGGGACGTACTGGCATCATTGGTTGACAAGCTGAAGGCAAAAATTGAGAAAAAACGACCGCATTTGAAAAAGAAGAAAGTGCTGTTGCATCAAGATAACGCACCGTCTCACACTTCGGCGGTCGCTACGGCAAAAATTCACGAATTGCGGTTCGAATTAATTGACCATCCACCGTATTCATCAGATCTGGCCCCCAGCGGCTTTTTTCTGTTTCCTAGGCTCAAGGTTTGACTCGGAGGACAGAAATTTTCATCGAACGAGGAGGTCATCGCATCCGTAGACGCCTATTTTGTAAAGCAAGACGCTCAGTATTATTTGAATGGATTAAAGGGGTGGGAGCATGGCTGGAAAAAATGTATCGACTTTAAAGGAGACTATGTGGAAAAATAAAATTGAATTTGACCGAAAAATTACTTGTTTCTATGTACTTGGTTACCATTAAACACTGCCGATCGCGGTTTTCGGGATTCCCTTGGTCTCTTAGAAGATCTTGAGTTTATTTCTAAAATGCCTCATTTTTTTCAAAAGGGATCACAGCATTCCACAAACGAAGGAATGAATCAAGGTTTGTTACGAAAGTCTGGGAGATCGAAGCAGTCAATGGATTAATAAAAATGTGGAAAGCTTTACGTGACGCTTTTCCAAACAATCAAATTCCGTACATCGGGAATTACGTTAAAATAGTCTGCGCACTTTGTAATGCTTTCCGACCTCCCAGAACTCACGAAAATTCCGATGATCATTTGGTCGCCGAAGGAATGTTAGAGCTGGCTTCGCAACCTAACAAACTTCAGGAACATCCTGAAAAAGAAAAATGGTAAAAAAAAATTCGTCATGGCTTCGTATAACAGAAAAGTCTTTATCTGATTTCCCTAGGTTGACTCTTGATGAGTTGAGATACATCACTCTTGGAGTCAGTTAAAGCAAGCTAAGTTGTACACTGAAGAACACTTTTCGGATGATGGATTGTACTCTCTTCTTGTTCATAAACAAGAAAAAAATATTCTGAGAGTACAAATTCATTTCCGTCACACATCAAAAGCGCTTGATACTGTCAATGCAAAAGTGGTGCAAGAGTGGTTGGATGTTGCACTTACATCGCCAGTGTTTTGTGGTACATGGATTACTCTAGATATCTGAACATTTACAATCATGTCACCTTGATGATGCATCGTGTTGATTGGAGGAAGAAGCAGAAAAGGAAATGGAAATATCCTCTGCGGATGACACATCTAGTTCTGATGGGTGAAACTTCTGTGTGTTTAGAATAATGATTTTTCAATGAACTGTACTTTAATTTCAGTAATTCTGACAGTACATGATCTAATATAATAATTCTCCCATAAAAAATTATTTTGACATTTTGTCTACACTGGCCGGATCATTTCAAAATCTTGTTTTCACTGGCCAGATGATTTTGAGATCTTGCCTTCACTGCCCGGATCATTTCGATATCTTACCTTCACTGCATAGGCGCCGACTTGCGAGAAATATTAGGGGGGAACACAACAATATCCACTTTTTTGCTACTGATAGAAATAAATCGCTGAAATAACTAAAATCTATCAAATTAGTAAAAATTTTAACGATTTATTTTCATCAAGAGCATCACAAAGAGAATGGATAATGTTGTGTAGTTGACATCCACTCTTTCAGAAGATTACTGTAGTGCACAAGGTATTCTGCGGTTACAGGAAAAAGGCACTCATGTCTTCTCTCAGGTTTCTCTTTGGTACGTGTATATGTGCACGTACACTAGGGGTTCCTTCCAAGAGCATGTTCGGATTCCAACCTGGGTGCTCCCCAGGTGTTATGTCATCCTTGTTATTTAATAAACGTCAAACAAGGATGAAATGACATCCGAGGAACACTCTAATGGAAATCAAAACACGCCTCAACAAGAGATTCACAATCAGTAGGGGAGACCGGGGTCATTAGGCTATAGGGGTAAGTAGATTAATCGAAGCTACGTTGCAAACAAATAGCGCGAGACTCGCGTAAACGTGTCTGAGCACGCAGCAGTGACTGCCGCTCAGTCTGTTGTGATATCGCGAGGCAGACGCATCTTTCAAAAAAGTTACGCTACAATTTAAAAAAATCGAACACGTAAGTAAATATTTTCATTCTTAAAGTTTTTGTTTTACAATTGTGTATAATTGTCTGAGATATTTGATTTCCATTTATATAGTAAGTGTAGTTCTTACTTAATAAAGTCCAACAGGTTTTTTTTGTTTATCTGTCTTTGTTATTGTATACTGTTAATGTTTTTAAAAAATGAACGGATGGGACTAGTAGGCTAACCATAACACGGGGCTATATGACTAATTTAGTGACGATTCTGATAGTACCTACTCTCAAACTTCTTGGAATGAAATCTCACTCTAAAAGAATGAAAATACAGTCAATTTTGAAAAAGAGTGAAAATATACCAATTTCTTGAAAAAGAATGGCAATATTTCATTCTTTTAAAGAGATTTACCTCAGTGGTAAATGTTATAAGTTTAGTTCCCTCGCGTCCAATCTCGATAAAACTAGGCTCTTTCGACGTGTTTTTGCACAAAAAGAACGAATTTAGCAAAAAGAAGCATTGTTCTGCCTTGCAAATTGAAATATTAATCGGTAAAGTTTGTTAGGTTAGGAAATCTGTCATTCGCTACGTCCTGGTAAAAACGTCGATAGCATGTTTTGAATATGAAATTTGGTTCGTAAATTCACTAATTTGAATCAGATCTTATAGGACTCTTGTACAAATCTTATAAAATCTGATAAAATATACGATAGGAATCATATCAATCGTGATGCTCGCGAGGTCAACAATAGAAATGATATAAACTTATAGAAAACGACACAAATTGATAGAAATCCTATCGTTCTCAATCGTTCTCTACCAACTTTTTTTACCAAGGTGATCTCACTCTATTCCATAAGTAACTGTATGTATTTTCACTCTCATTGAGATTTCACTTAAAAGAATTTAGAGAGTATTCTTTTTTATTTTTTAAATCCATCTATAATGCAATAATTTTTGTAGTTTTAATAAATTTTAATAATAAAAATACGCAATAAAATATCATAATTAAATTACATGTATAAGAATTCATGCATGAATATGTATAAATATTCATAAACATATATAATTATGTATGAAGTATGTCCATATATGTTCATATATCCTTCTTTTTTTTGTAAAATTATTTTTAAAGGTAATAGAATACAATCATATATGTTTGTGTATATTTATACATATTCATGTATGAAAAATTTTTTACCGAACAGTATTATGAAATACTAAGATATTAATTTAATTACAGCAAATCATGAGGACGTACAAGCGAAAGACAGATAAAGGAAATATTCTGAAGGACATTATGGAATTTGCATGTAAAGAAGTAATTTTAGAAGGAAAAAGCATTCGTTCTTCAGGATTGAAATATAATATTCCATATAAAACCTTGCATCGATATGTTACAAAATTAAAAGCTACAGGAGAAGATTCCAGTCAAGTATCGAATATTCAATTAACTCATGTAGGTTATATCAAAAGTCGTCAAATTTTGAATGATACGGAAGAAATTGCTTTAGTGGAATATGTTAAAAAAGCAGCAGATATTTATTATGGTTTAACACCCAGAGAAGTAAGAAAATTGGCTTATCAATTTGCAATAAAAAATGGAAGTAAAGTGCCAGCTTCTTGGAATGAAAACAAAATGGCAGGTGAAGATTGGTTCTCATCTTTTCTGAAACGCAATAACAGTTTATCAATAAGATCACCACAAGCCACAAGTCTTTCTAGAGCAACATCATTTAATAAACATAATGTTAATTTGTTCTTCACAAATTTGAAAACAGTCTATAATCGTTTAAGAATGGAGCCATCTGACATCTGGAATATGGATGAGACAGGGATTACTACTGTTCACACTCCTAATCGTGTAGTTGCACGTCGTGGGATAAAGCAACTAGGGAAGATGACTTCAGCTGAAAGAGGGACTCTCATTACCGTTGCAGTTGCAGTTTCAGCTATAGGAAATATGGTCCCACCATTTTTTATATTTCCAAGAGTCAATTACAAAGATCATTTTATACAAGGAGGCCCTCTTGGATCTGAAGGCGATGCCAATCCATCAGGTTGGATGAAAGAAGAAAATTTCATAAAATATTGTAAACATTTTGTTCGTCATGTTAGACCATCTAAAGAGAGGCCTGTTCTTCTTTTACTTGATAATCATGAATCTCACCTTTCTATTGAGGCGCTTGATTATTTCAAACAGAATGGAGTTACAGTTTTATCGTTCCCTCCTCATTGCAGTCATAAGTTGCAACCTCTAGATAGATCTGTATATGGACCTTTGAAAAAATATGTCAATACAGCATGCGACAACTGGCTAGCTAGTAATCCAGGAAAAACTTTATCTATTTATCACATTCCAGAAATAGTAAAAACTGCATTACCTCTGGCGACAACTTCAACAAATATTCAGGCAGGTTTCCGCGTTTCAGGAATATCTCCTCTAAATGAAAATATATTTCCTGAAAGTGAATTCTTAGGATCTTATGTGACCGATAGAGAAGATATTTCTACTATTATCAACGCTGCGAACGATAAATTTCTTTCTGTCCAGGAAAATATCGATCTTTCAGCTAACGAGGAAAATATGGATTTTTCAGTTTCCGAGAAAAATATCGATTTTTCAGCTATCAAAGAAAATATCGATCTTTCAGCTATCAAAGAAAATATTGATCTTTCAGCTAACGAGGAAAATATGGATTTTTCAGTTTCCGAGAAAAATATCGATTTTTCAGCTATCAAAGAAAATATCGATTTTTCAGCTATCAAGGAAAATATCGATCTTTCAGCTGCTCAGGAAAATGTCGATCTTTCAGCTGCCCAGGAAAATGTCGATCTTTCAGCTACCCAGGAAAATTTATATCTTTCATCTGTCAAGGAAAATGTCAACCCATCTTCGATGTCTAGCTTAATAGTCACACTTCAGGATATAAGACCTCTGCCAAAAGCGGGACGGCGTCAAGAAAAAAGAAGAAATACTCGTAAACGTACTAGTGCAATATATACAGACTCACCAGAAAAAGATGCACTCATGAAACAGAAGCTCGATAATCTAAGAAAGAAAAGTAGAATCAACAAGAAAGGAAAAGAAATCGAACAAAAAAGCAAGACAACAAGAAAAGGAAAAAGTAAGGCAAATCCAAATAAAGGAAAATATCCTTTGGTTGAAAAAGTTACAAGGAAAATTTTGAATAAACTAAATTCTTCATCCTCGAATGAGATAGATGATGAAATGTGTCTCGTTTGCACAGAAAGTTATTTAAAAAGTATTCCAGGAGAAGAGTGGATACAGTGCACGAAATGTAACATGTGGGCACATTCTAAATGCATAAAGGGTAACTTATCATATTATATTTGTTACAACTGCAATTCGGATGACGATTCGGATTAGATAAATTACTTATCTAATAACAAGGTACAAAGTTATAAACATTTTTTATTTTATGAATATGTTTGTGTTCTCAAAATACATTTTTATAAAAGTTTTATAAATATGTTTGTGTTTAAAATACATTTTATTAAAAGTTTCGTTATTATGTAATTAAGATGTACCTTAAAATATACATTAATTTTCATTTTAATAGTGTTAGTCAAATTACCCCATACCATTAATCATCTTACCCCGTTCCTGGGGCTAATTGAACCAGATGGAATGCATTTAAAAAATGAATTTTTTTTATATTAGTTATCAGTTTCCCCTTATTATTAAAATATTATTAGATAGCCAAATGTATGTAGTAACTGGTGTAGAATTCATTTTTTCGATAAGTCTCTTAATTTCATCTGTAAAAATTCGAAACTGAAAAATGAGTCTACTATCCCCGGTCTCCCCTACAACATAATAATCATCTCATCCTTGTTTAACATTGGCGAGCAACAAGAATATAATGATACACTGTGTCACACCGTGTCATTACATCATTTCTTGTTGGAAGGCACCCTAGGACAGCAAACGACGTGCCAGCGCGAGTATCACCACTTTTAATTCGCCGTGTCAACGTTATGTATAACATATGTCATGTGGCTGATGTTTTCTCACAGTTTTGATCGCAGAAATTATTTGCAATTGTTAAAACACCGTTTGTTAAAAACCAAAAGGTAAAAATTATTGAGGGAGCATTGCCCCCCTCCCCAATAAAATTATTGAAGGGGCAAAATGTGGTCTGCCCTCCCGTAGTCGACGCCTATGCTTCACTGGATGGAGCATTTCGAGATCTTGCCTTCACTGCCCGGATAATTTCGAGATCTTGCTTTCACTAGCCGGATCATTTCGAGATCTTGCCTTCATTAGCCGAATAATTTCGAAATCTTGTTTTTGAGATCTTGTCTTCAAGGATATATGAGTTTGGTGTGTATGGGTTTGAGGTTTAGGGATTGAAGGTTCAAGTAACTTGATTTGGTTGGTTTATTGTTCATGGTTGTGGTTCTACGTAGATAAGAATTTATAATCTACGTTATTTTATTTGCGATGTGAATTGTGTGATTTTGGACCTTCTTACTACATATAGTATATCTCATAAATATGACGAGATACGAATTTTTAGGAAAAGGATTCTGTTTTAGCACGTCAGAAGATGTACGAGTATGTATGTATGTATGTAGGAAGCCATTGGTCTTCCTTCCGGAATAAAATACTTTTTTTATTTTGTGGTACTGTATTATTATTTATGTTATCCTAGAATTTTACTTGTTCCTAAAAACATGTTTCTTTGATTCATTTTTTTTGTAATTCCTATGTTGAAAGTTCCTAAAAACTGTAGAAAAAAAATCATCCCTAGAAAATCCAGAAATATTTTGGAATCGTATGAGATCCATATAGAAAATCTGTCCAAAATCACACGTAGTCTTATTGGTCATTATTTATTTACTTTTTTCAAGAATTCTGCTCGTTCTCGAAAACATATTTTTCATTAAGTTCGTTTGATTTATTTTTTATACAGTTTTTATTATAAAAGAGACTGTCCCCGAAAAATCTCAAAATATCTTGAAATTGCGTATGAATTATATTGAAGACCTATCATACCTATTCTTCATTGATCAATATTTTTTCCTGTATTTTTACTACTATTTGTAATACTGAATCGTCTGTATTTCAAGATATAAGACTCTATTTTGAGTCTCATCTGATACGCTCTTGAGATGAGATTTGAGAAACGACTATAAATACGGCATACTTTGAGACTGATCGGTGATGGGTCCAAAAACCCATCTTATTGACCTTTCTCCTTTCTCGCTTGGAAAAATTTGACGAAATCCTTATGGCCAGTCTCTGATTAAATCTCTAGTATGGACCAAACGAAAGTGCAGCACCAAACATATTACGTGCACAACAGCACAATCAATACTGACAAGGGAAGTTTCACAACTGTCCGGAACCGATTTGATTCTCCATGAAATATGTTGTTAAACACGAAAATCTAAGAGACACGTATTTTTTATACGTGCCCTAACTTATATTTAAGCGGTGAGACACCCCTGAAGAAAAACGATATTTTTCTTTTGAGGCGAATATCGTCGGAAGTATAAAAGATAGAAAAAAATTTTTTGAACAAAAGTTGTACGGTTTCAAGAGTACTTTAATATTGTGAAGAAAAAAAATATTAAAAAAATTTTTTGTTAACACAGTAGGATAGTAAGGCCAATTCTAATCCACTATGTGTTAGTACGTATACGTATATGCGGTGTGTGTGTGTGTGTGTGTGTGTGTGTGTGTGAGGGAGTCAGGGAGGGGATGACGGAGAGGGGGGCATCATCGAAGGGAAGGGAGTTCGTTCCTTCTCTCTCCAACCTATTATCTTCTCTCTCCCACCCGTTGTAGGATGCAGTTCTCTCTGTCCCACCCGTTGCGGCCCTATTATTCGCGCTCTCTCATCCTCCCGTTGTATTCTCTCTTACGTTTTCTTTTCTTCTTTCGTACACGATTTTATTAAATAGATATTTATGAAACATGACTTAACAATTATAATAATATTTTTTATTAATGTAATTAAAAATGCGTTTTCTTATCATCTAGTTTAATACTCACTGAATCATACTACTACTACTAAACATTATTAACTAATTCTTAACTATAAGGAAAGGAAAGGAAAGGAAAGGAAAATAATCATTTTGAAGACTGTATAATATGTTTAATACATACATTTATTTTTCATATAACGCAGCGTGTA